GTAGCTGTAACTATAGACTGTAGTGGTAGAGACTCTATGCTAGAGTACAGATGACTATATACAGTAAGCTGTTGAGTTACTAATATGGCTATAGGTAAAAATAGAACTGTAAATCATATATTAGGATATGGTTAATTCATTGTACTTTGGCTGGTGTGAATAATGTCTACGTAAGTACTGTAGTCGTATCCATATTAGATTAATGATGGTCCGCAGTAGAATAGTCTTACTAAGAATAATTTAACTATGTGTAAAATAAGGTAAAAGGTTGCCATGCGGATTGTAGCTGCGAATGCTACGAAAAGTATAAAAGCATGCAACTTTAGATTATTCTGTTAGTTCGTTGTAGAAGTCTTTAGTAGTAGTATTCGGCTAGAGTAGAGCTGTGTAGTTAATCTTTGTATAAGATTCAATAAAGCCCTTATTTTTCTAAAATTTGGAATTTCGTGATTGGTTGTCACGGTACGAACTACAGTGAAGAAATAGCTATCTAAATTTGGTTAATATAGTATAGTGATATTATATTACAACTAGTTACTTACAATAGGAATTACTCTAATTATAAATGTGTTACAGTAAATTTATTGCTGTGCTGTAATATGTGCTGAAATGATTCTGTGAATGGACATATTGTAGTCCGACTGTGAAAAACTAGTTAGTAGATGTTCTCACCCAAGTGTTATTATAAGATGACTTGTGAATGTTAGCTGCTGTAGAAGGGTATATAAACCCGTCAGATAGTTGAATAAAGCAGTTCTCAATTGTATAGTTGTTTTAACGTAGAATCAAAGGCGTCTAAATTCTTGTAAGTAGGGATACTGAATCCCGGAGACTATAGTAATTTAGAGATTTGTTTTACGTTATACTTGTCACGAAGTTGGTTTGTGACATTGGTATATATCACAGCGGGCCATTACCTGACATTTTCTCTGAAGATAATATAGTTCAAACATATATATCTATTTTGAGTTCTACTCCGATAAAATTTTAAATTTCTAGACAAATTTAATCAAAATAAAAAATATATCTATAACCAGATACGTTGTAGCTTTATTAGATGTAGAGAATATTAATTTGTGGATTTTTAAGTTTACAGTATAGTCGTTTTCTATAAATTGCTCCATTTCATTCCTATCTGGTAAGGAAACTTAACCTAGGAACTAGAATAAACGTCTACAGTTGTACCATCCAAAAATATATAATTTCTTAAGCTGCTGATCTTTGCTACATTATTTAGCTGGAATTTGTCTATGCTACATTTTAAAGAATAATGAGAACAAATTTAAAATCAGAAATTTTATTATCATATTTTAGTAATACTACTAACTAGTGAATGCTAATCTATAGCATTAAATTGATACTAGCAGTACGTTAATCAAATACTGCTGAAAATGTAATAACATTAAAATTCCTACGGAACAAATCTGGCAATTTTTACGCTAAGATCTCATAATAATAGTTTAATGTAGTGCATATGATCCAGTAAGCTATCATTTTTGGCTTAAAAATGTTATTACAATCGGCTAAGATAAAAAGTCAAGCATTATACTACAACGGAATAGGAACGTAATTTCTTTTCATCATTTTTTTAGCGTATGCAAACTCTATAAATTAATCATAATTTGAACGTGATTATATAATTATACTTATGTATAATCTTACCATTATACAATATTGCAATAAAATTAAAATGAAATATTAAATTAGAAAAGATTTTAACGCTATACTCGGGAGACACAATTCAAAATGAGAAGAAATATTGATATTTTATTTGGTCTTACTTGCAGTAGACTTTAAATTTGCAATTAAGGTAAAATTGTTGATTAAATCTTTTCCTGTTATTATTGCTTCGAATAAAAAAATAGTTTAAATTTATGCTTTAAAAGACAGAAAGGAGAAATACTGGTCGAAAATTCTTCTACAAAAGAAAGCTAATGCTTTGTAAATCAAACAGTATTTGATTGTGAGAGGGAGCAGATGTCACATTGTGAGTGAAATAAAACTTTTGATTAAGCCTATGACGAAGACAATGATTGACTTTTTATAATTGGCGCTAAATTAGTGATTCTAGTAGACAGTATTTTATCTATTTATTAGATAATAATATATTGAATAAAAAGGTAAAATACTAATAGGAATTAAATGTTAATATTGTAATAATAAATAGATCCTAAGAGTAAATTATATTAACAAATGAAAGACTGCGTACTTTCTAAAGATGAAAGTAGACAGATCACTACTCTGTTTGACAAGATAAAAACCTCACATTTGACGTTAATATTCAAAAATACTTTACGATATATTTCCTTTCCATAATTGACAGACAATAACGTTATCTTTTCGTTAATTCTTTATCCTTTGCATCAACAAATTACGAAATCTGCAAAATATCAAATTAAAAATACGACAAATCGTCCAAAATCAGATCACATTGAAACGTTATATGGGGAATTTACGATGCCTGATGTCTTGGAAGAAATAAGCCTAAACAAGATTAGAGATAATATGCAAAGATGATCTTTCATCATCATAATAATACAAAAGTAAAAGTCTGGGAAGAAATAATATTCCTGTACGTAGTACTACATCAATTATTGGATGAATTGATTATTGCAGTATACTTCCAAACTGATATTTGTTGATTATACAAACCCAACATTAGAGAACGTTCATTCAATAAGTCAACTGATAATCTAGCATAATCTGAAGAGCTGCAGTTTTATCGCTATAGATAAATAGATGGAAAGGTTAATTTATCGTTAGAGCATAGCATTAGTGTATATGAGTTAATTAGCTAAGACTAACATAAAATTTGAATTAACAGAACTTCCAACAGGATTTCATATTCTATTAATTATTAGAGCAAATCTGTGAAATACACACTAAACTTGGGAACATCAACGATGTTTAAAGTACCTCATAAATAAAGTAGCATATTCACAGTTAGTAACCTAATTATTATTAGACATACGACGACGTAAGAGAATTTTCATATTTGTTTTATTTTTCTCGAGAAATAACCGTTCACAAGGTCCCATTTAGTTATATATAGATATTATTATTAAGAAAAGTAATAATCTAGTTATAATTAGTCTTTAGCTTTTCATATTAACATATTCACATTACCATCAAAACTTTCATAATAGCAATAATTGATGACGTTATATTTCCGATAAAAATTTTTGGTATTCGATTCAACTCTGATCTAGCCGATTAATTAGGTAATTGTACTAGATATGAAATTATGAAATGATTGAAGGTAATCTAACACCATCTCAGCAACGAATGCCTGACAAAATCAAAGTTGCCATTTTATTACTAATCTCGCAATATGAACAGATAAATATCACAGATCGACCAGCAGATTTTGGAATGACAATTCCTCTAGAATATAAAAGGATTGAATCACTTGCTCATGAAGATATATTATATCCTGCAGATATTTCTCTCTAAAAATTCTTAACTTTTATAAGCCTTTATATATTTTTTATTCATAATTTTGATGGCAAACAGTAGCCTATCTAAGAAATTAGTCAATTGCCTATTTTAGGTTGTATTCAGTTATAAATTTTAAAACTAACTGTAACTGATTCAGTGCAAAAGAATGCTGTTGAGTGATGATAGAAATCTTCTTTAATTAACGTAAGCCTTATGAATATTAACGGTACTTCGATTCAGTATATTAAAATTAACGAAACTGGATATTCAAAATGACTTATGAAAGCTAGTTTTAAAATTGAAATATGCCTATGGTTTGAATAGATGAACATCTTCGTTGACGTCAAATTTAGCGCATTAAAAGGATGAGCATACAAGCTTTTCCCTAACAATGGCTTGATAGAATTTTATAATCTGTAATAAATTCATGACGCCAAGTTCAATTTATTCTGACTCTTGAATAACTTTAGTTTTGTGCATTCTTAGCGTCAATAGATTAGAAATGTGGTCACCAGTGAACCATCTAAGTTTATTATGTTATTTTACTAATTCACTCTTTTAGCCTATACTTTTAAGGATGTATCTCCTTAGAATATTAAAATTTCTTGTAATTGAATCATTTATTCGTTACATAGTGGTTAAAGTGATAATGGAGAACATTAAATGATGCATTTGGAAAGATTCTGCACGATGTGAAACAATTTAACATTTCTATTGTCATTACCTAAAAAGTAAAAGTACAAATGCTGATTTTAAAGCTTTAGTTAAAAGGTAAGTATTGATCAAGGTCATTTACTATACTATTGATTAAGGGTAGTATGTTTTATGGAGATATTATCGCAATGTATAAAGTTGTTGGAGCCATTTTTGGAGGTAGATATAATTACTACAATTCCAAAATATTTTTAGAAAGTACCGCAATTATAATATTCCACATTGTTATAAAAAGATTCAGGAAATTTATTTGTTAAGAATAATGATAATTTAACAATTACCTTGGTTATGTTTGCCACAAAAGCAAATAATGCAATAATATGCTATATTGATTTAATTAATGTGAATGAAAAATTCTAGAATAAATAATAGTCTTATTTCGATGGATATTTTGATTAATGCTTCATAAAAATAATGATTCTCTTCAACAAATACAGTTTCTAAATGAATTCTATAGTGCAAAGAATTTCCCTGTCTTCATCAATTTAGCCGTATATTTCAATTTTGGAAGTAAATTCTGACTATTCGGAAAATAAATTTTATATTAAAATTAGTGTATCTGGAATTGTCTAGATCACTCTCCGTTCAATTCAGTTTTCTACAGCTCTGCAGTCCAAATAAGCTCGTGCTGTGCTAAAATTAATTTATTTGATCGTAATGATCTAGTACGGTGAAAAATTCTGGATAAACAATGTTTCATTGCATTCGACTTTACATAGCTACTACAAGTGAGCTAGTACTATTTCATAATAATACAATATGCAACTAATTAGGAGTGAAAATACGACTTATAAGATGCAATCCGATTTTATTTATTGCTTTACACAGCAATGTATTGATCGTCTCTACAATCGAAGCATCTGTTCTGGCATTTGGAATCACTTTGATTAATGCTAAATAAAAATAACCATTCTCTCCGACAAATGTAGTTTATAAATGAAATCTTTACTGCATAGAAATAGCCCGACTTTTATTATCAATCTAGCAGCATATTTCAGTTTTGGGATGTAAATTCTGAACGATTGCATAAGAAAGTTTTATGTAATATTTAATATTTTACTAACTTTAGTAACACTGCAGTTGACTGCTTCAGTAACTTTGCCATTAAGTTGATTAATAAAGTGAGATTACATGCAAAATACTGTCATATCTGTAATAAAAATATCTCATAATAGCGGCCAATCACAAACCAGCTTCGTGATAAAGATAACGTAAAACAAATCTCTAAATTAATATAGTCTCCAGGATTCAGTATCCCTTAATTGTTTCACAAGAATTTAGATGGCTTTGCTTCTACGGTAAAAAAGTATAGAACTCCTCTTTCATTCAAGTATCTGCCGAGCTTAAATACCCTTCGGCAGCAGCTATCATATATGAGTCATAACAGTTCATGTAATTTAATTCATATAGGATAGCTAAACTAATACAAAAATTATTTATAATCTTAGACATATACGGAACGATTCTAGATAATTAGCTTATAGTATGTCCATACACAGAATTATTCATAGTATCATCTGCAGGATATTCACCACAAGCGTTGCACGATGTAACACTATAATTAATTAACATTAGTTACCGTATAAGAACTCTTATTACAGTACAGCATAATTTACTGCAACGAAATGATAACTACCGTAATTCTTAGTGAAAGTCACTATTAGTTATCTCCCTATGTAAATATTAACCACCAAAATAGAGCATCATTATCTTCTACAATCTAAATCATTCTACTTAAAATATTACTAATCTTCTATTAACGTCCAGCTCCT